TTTGGTCTTGCCACTTACATCCACAGGAGAGACAAAACTATTATTCACTATGAAAGAAAATGAAACAATATAGGTACCTTGTGGTTTGCAATTCAAACAAATCCTTAACCCTTGTACACTCGTTCTCCCTTTCCTCTTTCAACTCGAAGAACAAAAAACAAGAGAAAAAACCCCACTCTTGCACTAAGAGCACCCTCTTTCTCTCTACTACTTTTTTCCCTCTCCAACAAGAAAAAGAGTAAACTTCTTTCGCACTTGTTTCAAAAAACCCTAACCCTACATACAAAAAAAACCTTTAATATGTAAAACCCTCTTTAATCTAAAGAGTGACTACACCAACCTTTAGATTAAAAATAATCAAATGGTTGAAAAATAAGATACAACCCCAACAATCTCCACCTTGAGTTATTTTTTAACCACCTTAGAGATCTATCTTTTGTGCCTTCACTTGTTTGCAAATACTACAAACCTCTATTGGCCTTGTAAAACATTACTAATTATACATAACTTGAATCACTTTGTCCTGAATCCACCTGATTCAAACAAAACAATTGATGTATCTGTGTAACTACACCCAAGTTAACAATCCTAGTCAATTCTAGAGAGGAACCTTGATCATTCCTTTGTCCTAATAGGAATATTCCTATCATTATCATCTATACCTTGGATACTTCTAGCACTTGCCTCCACACTATCTGTGAAAAGGACTTTGCGAAACTTATAACACTTGTCTCCACACTATGATCGTCATCTATACCTTGCGCACTATGTTTCCAACATTCCATCGAAGTCGTGGGAACTACTCTCCTAACTAGATGATACAAACCCTTGCATTTTTCTCCCTTTATTAAAACCATACCTCCGCGTGTAATTTTCATGACTCCATCTATAGTAAAGACCTTGCAACCCTTGGAATCTAACCAACATTCCACACCACCCAAAGTGTAAGCCATTCCATCATACATTTTGATTTTCATTGTCCCAATGCCCATGATGTTATATGTAGATCCATCACCCAAGGAGACAATACCTATTTTCCTCTCTTGGGACGTATCAAAATATTCTTCCCTGCAACAAATATGCCTATAACACCTAGAATTTAAAACCCACTCATTTACAGAAAATTTGCACATACTTTTGGAGACTGTGAGAATATCTCAATCATGATCTAATGCAATTACAACGCTTTCAAATTCATCCCCACCCTTCTTTCATGTAGGACAATATCTTTTTATGTGAATAAATTCCTTGTATTTGTAACACTGTACATTGCCCTTTTTCATGACCTTGGATTTAGACCTGTCACTCTTAGATTCATTGTCAGATGACCTTTATTTTCGATCCGTTCCTTACATATCCAATGCAAAATCCTGCCCACTTTTATACTTGAGCTTCCTCCTAACCTCATTGGATATGGTGACTTCTTCAAACTTCATTGTATCTTTCTTGCATAATAATATTGTCACCAAGTTTTCAAATGAATCAAGAAGTGAGGTAAAAAGTGAAAGGGCCTTGTCTTCTTCCTCCACCTTTACATCAACTTTCCTTAATTGATCCAAGACACTGTTCCCACCTTCTACCATCTTCAACCCGTACAACTAACACTTCAACTATAACTTTGTGGTAAAGTTTTTCCTTAATAGAGTTTCTCCAACTTGTCATACAACTTTAATGCATAATCATCATTCATAACATTCAACATAATGTTATCAGCTAGGAGCAATTGAATTGTACTAATATATCTTTACTTGATGTCCTCCCAATCAACATCCTTTATGTCTTCTGGCTGTTCATCCCTTTCCTTTCAACACTTTAGCCAAGCTTTGTTGAACTAGGATGTCCTTCACCCTTCTTTGCCATAAAGATAAAGTTGCTTTTGCCATCAAACCTCTTAATCTAGAACTAAGAACTTATACTTTTTGTTGTCATTATATCTTAGACAATTTCACAACACCTTGTAAATACCAACCGGGAGCTTTGATTCAACCATTAAGAAAATCCAAGCAATGACAAATATAAACAAGCACCATTAAGAAGACAAAAGTATTTACATGATTCAACCTTACCATTTACGTCCATGTGAGAGATGATAACTATTCTTTACTATGATAGAAAATAAAAAATAGTGCAAGTACCTTGTGGGTTGCATCCCAAACCAACCCTTAACCCTTGTACACCCGTTCTCCTTTTCTCCTCTTAACCCGAAGAACAAAAACAAGAGAAAAAAGCTCCACTCCTACACCAAGAGCACTATCTTTCTCTCTACCTTTATACCTACACCCATAGTTACATATGTTTGATCCTATACCTCTGATTTTTAGAAAACTACAAAGTGATTATCTCAGCTAGTAGGTCATTGGTAAAGGGCAGCTCAGATTGGATGTTTGTAAAAATTTAAATGTGCCCGATTTGAAGCTTGAGCCCAAAGAAGTGTAATATTTAAATCCCCTACTTCCCCTCCTTATTTAGTATTCAAACAACCTACTAGCGCTGTCCACCGGGTTGTTTTAAGATTCGATGGGAGCTCTTTGGGCAATCTTGGTCTAGTTGGAGTGGAGGGCATCTTTTTCTCTATAATAAGGTGATAGTTTTTGGGCATTCAATGGGATGAATCGATTCAACTAACTCAACAAAGGCAGAGGTTTTGGTTCTCCTCACTAGGCTTTGAATTGCCATGGACCTTGGCTTAAGTTCCTTTGTCATTGAAGGTCACTCAGCACTCATGATCAAATGGTTGACCTCTTGGGAGGGGTGTCCATGGAGGCTGGACTAGTACCTTGGCAAGGCTAGGGACCTGGCTTTTGCTATGTCAGCTATCCCTACTTGGGTTCATAAGGAGCTTAGTTCAGTGGCCAATTCTTTGGCAAAGTTATAAGCTTCGAGAGATTGCAAACAGTCTTCGAGAGATTGCAAACACTCATGATCAAAACGGGCATTGTGCCTGTTTTGGGCTATTTTTGGGAAGATCAAAATGGAGATTTTTGGTTTTTTTCAAGTTATCTTCATGCAAAAAAACACGCCTTAACCAAACAGTCTTCAGACTGATAAGATCTTGATGCAAAAGCCCATTATGTCTTTTTAACTATCAGAGCTTCTAAAAAATCTTTCAAAAAAGACTTGCCCAACAACCTCGCTTATATAGCAAAGCTTATCTATGATCTTTGAAGGGCCTTTTTGTATTTTTCTATCTTTTAATATAACATGTTGTTATCCTTCCTGAAAAAAAAAAAATCAGTGCAAAATGTTAATTCAGACTGGGAGTCTCATGCCGGGTCTGGTTTATCATTATGTTGGGTTTTACTTAAAGCAAACATATGTCCATCATGTATTGGCACAGCTACATGATGAGGCCAATCCAACTGTTAAAAGCGCCCCCTAAGATGAGAGCCCCTAATTGACTTTGGCTGAGTAAACAAAGAAAGAAGATGAACAAAAATTAAAATACTCCTACATATAATGGTGTCTATAAGACTTTTAGATAGCTTGTTTACCATCTATTTCGTCATTATTCTTGACCTTTACCTCTCTCTCTTTTGTTGATGTCCTAATTAAAAGCTGGATCCCAACATAGCCAGCAAAAGGAAAAAGAAAAGATAATATTTGTTAGTCAGGAATTCCATATGTATATTTGAGTAGTCCAAATCAAATGGGGGCAGCCGACACCTCATGACCTGGTTCATTGAATTCAAATAATTCTTTAGTAAACAGGGGTACATCGAATTCAATAATTTGAACACAGGTCATAATGTTGTACACTCGAAATCTTTAGGGGTTTTTATAGTTCAGTCCATCCCAGAAATTTAAGCCCCACCACCGTATAGGTCGCCTGAATCCGACTGTGGATTGATACTAAATTCACAGACAGGATACGACGTCGCTTTTATATTAGGCATGGATCAGCAAAACCAGTTCTCTCTATTGACTATTTTGTCACGCTTGGCTGTTTAGGAAGTGACAGGGGAGTAAAGTTTTTCTAGGGTAATTGGTTTAGGTTTTCTTCCTTGTAAAACTATATACGAAATACAAGAAAATTGAATGTGAAACCATTAAATGGGTGGATGTGGTCACTAATTTTTGTTTTTTTATTTTTATTTTTTTATTTTAGGGTAAATTTCTGAAACTTCCCAAAGTTTTTGACTGTTGCTGAAATCTCTCCTAAAGTTAAGTAATGACAATCATCTCCCTGGATTTTCTAATACAGGTGCAATTAAACCACCTCTATTAAAATCTTCTAAAAATAGGCATAAAAATGTCTAAAATACACAATTATTATTGAGAATGGTTTCTATGAGAAAAAAACAATACAAACTTTATAAAAAAAAACAAATTTAAAGTTGTAGCTTTACTTTTGAGTGACTGATATGAAGGGCAAATTTAAAAAATAAATTAATTTCAGAAAAGATATTAGAAGGGTTTGAAATAGTAATTCACTTGGAAAATAAACATTTTTGTTAAAAGTAATTGCATGGATATTTAGACATTTTAATGTCATTTTTTAGAAAATTGTAGTAGACAGGTCATTTGCAACTATGTAAAAAGTTCAAGGGAACTGATTACAATTACAAAACTTCAGGAGATGTCTCAGCAACAACCAGAAACTTTAGGGAAGTTTCAGAAATGCCACTAAGAAATGAAGCTTTTCTTTCATTTTTTTTTTTTTTTTTTTTTAACTTGCTTATCTTCACTCTGCAGCCAGATGAAACCCTTTTATTGAATAGTTTAGACAGGGCACTCGTGTGCCAATACAGGGTGTCTTGGGGATATAAGCAAAATAGAGTACAGAGATGGCTGGTGGAGAGCTACAAAAGGGTGTCTATGAATCGAGCTTCAAAGAGTTGCAGAGAGTCTAGACATAAAGAGAATTGATGCTGTGTGGTTTCAAATGCATATTTTCAGAAATTTATGTAGAAAAAGTTTCAACGTTATGCAAATTGATTATTCGCTGTTCATGTATTAAAAATCTAACGCATAGTCAATGGGATCGGACGGCTAAAAACATCTAAACCAGAAGGGTTTTGTCCTTGCTTGCCAACCAAAGAGAACCACCCTTATCAGATTAACAACATCTCTAACTCAATCGACCCAGAAATTCATGAAATCTGCTTATCTAGAATTGAAAACTAAATACTTACAATAATTCCAGAATACCCAAACTAGCATCAATAGCACCAGCAGCAAAAACAATTAAAACTGCAGACAGATTTATTTAGAGCCGGTGCTCTTTTCATGAGTCATGACACAGAGAAGGGGCTCTTAAGAGGGATGAACCTTAGAAGGAGCAAAGGAGACCCCTTTGAATGCTGATTTCATTGAAGCAGTGGCGGAAGAGAGTGCAGCTTCTATGTACTTCTTGGAAGCGATTGTGGCTGCACTCTCGATCAATTTTCCCATCTTCTTTGCAGTCTTCGCCTCTTGAACCAGGCTCTCCAGTTCAGCCTTTGCCGCCTTGTCCATTTCCTCTTCGAAGCGTCGGAAGTCATCCATGGCGCCGTCCAGGATGGAGTCGAGGTAGTCCTCGACGTCTCTCAAGGAGGCCTCGGCTTCTTCGACGGCTTTATTCTGTTCGATTTCCAGTGCAGCCCATGAGTTGTAGGCCTCGATTTCGAAGAATTTCATAAGCTCGTCGATTGTTGCAGGGTCGAAGTTCTTGTCCTGCAACGCCTGGTTTGTTAGGAGGGTGAATTGGGAAAGGAGAGCTTCCATGTTTGTCTCTGGAGGGTCATGTGTAAGCTCTCTGCTGCTTTGCTAGTATTAATGAATGCGGTGGTGGGGCTTGTATTGAAGTGTTTGGGTAGTTGGGTCATTTCCTGGAAGATGGAAGGAAGAGAAATTTTGAGTACAAACAACTGAACTTGCTGGAGCCTGGAGCCTGTAGACAGCTCGGCCCACAACTGAACCCACTGATTCATCGTCAAGCATCCCAATAATGGTCCTGTTTTTCTTGGTTTTTTAACTGGATGGAGAAAAATTGAGTTCAGTAGTCTCAATTTGTTTGCGGTGCAAATTTCATATAAATGAATAGATTGAGTACTGTAAATTCTGATTTAACTTTGCTTCTGGTTGGACAGAGACCTGGGATTAAGTCCAGTATTCACGCAGGTAAGTTGGGGGTGAGTCTAAGGGTTTGGGGAGTGCTACCCCTACTGTGTATTACAAAATAATAATAATAAAAAAAAAGGAAAACGGGAAGAAAAACCCAAGGGTCAGTTGTTTTTTAGATTTGGAGGGGAAAAGTTGGTTTTCATGATCAAGAAATCCATCTTCTTTTTTCAGATTTATGTAGTGTTCATGGAAAATTTATTATCCCTAGATATCACTTTCCTACTTGGAGGAAAAATTGTCAATACCTGTTTGGGACATAATTGTTTATTTTAATTATGACTATTTACGACTAAAATGATCATAATCTTATTTGTCTAAGAAATAAAAGAACATGAATAAAATGCTTTTTGAAATTTACTTACCCAAATGCATGCATTTAATTACTGAAAAATGAATTGGGCCTAAGAGGTAAAATGTGGCCTCCACCATGTGGATGTGGTCATAGCATTAAATAAGAGAGAATTAATATAAGAGGAACTAGGAAGGTGGTGCAAATTTTGTAACAGTTTTTAAGATGCAAAATTTGCATTATCAGTGAGTGAAAATGATTCACAATGTACACATTTTACTAAGGAGTGCAAATTATAATTATAAAGAAAAGCATACAAAACTGAAGTGCATATAAAATTCATATCTGATTCAGATTTCCACCGAAAACATAGTCATAACGTCTCCAATCTCCATGATTTACAAGGTTTTCTTTTTCCTCTTTTAAGTTGAATTTGAAAACGAATGAGAAGAATCATTTTTTTCCTCTAAAAGGAGAATAAAAGGGGACATGGAGATGGCCTTTCTTATCGGCTAGTGCTGGAGAATCTGAACCAGTGGGGACTAGCTTAGGGCCATGACTTTTAGCCATTGGCAACCACATGGCCTTTATTTTTTCACTCAATTCTTTTGTATTGAGTTTTGCCATTGCGGCAAATTTCTAGTACCAGACCTAGCTGTTTGATGTGTCCAAAGAAAGAGTTTCCCTGGGATAAAAGTACATAAGAAAAACCTTAATTTGAGATGATGCTCACAAGGCTGAGAGGGAAGGGGGTTATTGATTTTGAAAGAATTGACCTTGTTTACAGAGCCTTGCTTCCCACAGGTCTCTCCTTGTGTGACACATTAGTCTATATAAACCTCGTGATACAGTATAAGGGACAAAAACAGAGTTTGGACCTTTTGCCTATAAAACGCTGGCAACATCCTGTGCACAAGATATGTCATGTGGAGAGCTACTGGACAACATAGGTTGTCAAAGGTGAACAGCAAAATAAGACTGGATTGTTTTTTGAAATAAAATTAGAGTTTACATCTACACCCCATAGGCACTCTACATCATATTCCAATCGTGTATTGGAAACATTTCTCAATGACAAATACGGAAGATCTCTCCAATGCATGCTGACATGTGTATGTGGGGGGCTGATGTGATCCCACAAAACTGAGACGAGATCTGTTCCTCACAGGCACATCCAAAGTGCATTGAAAACATCTACCGTAAATAATAACTTATAAGTACGGGAAATGTTCCCAATACATGGTTGGGTGTGGGTGTGAGCTCCGTTTGAGGAGCAGATCTATTTCCACAAAACTAAGGCCACATCTGAAAAAGCAACTGTTCTTTTCTTTTCTGAGATGGCATTTTATTAATTTTTCTGCTTTCTTATTACACGTGTCAAAGAGCCAGGGCAGATGTCTTATACCAATTGACCCTGCTGGTCCGGGCTCCTCGGAAATTCGGAAGCATGACACGTGTAAAGGGTTGAGAGGTAACAGCGTGGAAAGGGGTTTCTATGCTGGTGCCAGACATTAGCAGTCAAGTGACAACGACTGTTGTTGAGCAGGTTGCCCGTTGGTCCCCCTCAGTGTCTCTCACCAAGATTAGGGTTTTGAGAAAATGCTTCAAAAGAATAAAGGTGATGAGACTGGCTGTTGTATCAGGTAGGAGAAGTGGAGGCTCCATGAGCTGTTTTCTGAAGCATTGCCCCAACCTTATTGCGCCACCAAGGGATGAAAGGATGGTTGATGGGCAAACCACACCAGATATTCATGCCCATAGAATATACATTGTGGGGTGAAGTGTTCATGATGGAATGCTTCTCCAACTGATTGCTCCAAAACTTCTCCAAATGTTAACAAATGGAGGGAAGACAATGATGACTGAAACAGAGACAGTGAGTCCCAGCATCTAGACATCTAGTCTATGTATGTGTGAGGTGGTGTGATGTGTGTCTCTCAGTTAGAGGGTCTTTGGATAGTCCAAAGTAGTCTTAGCAGCAAACCTAGGTTTCCTGCATTCTTTTACTTGCCCTATGCTTCACCATACATGTGTATAGAGTCTGAAGACCCATGTGAGAAAATTTGGTGTTTCCTGCTTTAGTTTTTAGAGAAAATTTGGTGACTTTCTCATTGGACCTGCTACTCTCAACCAGACCCAATGTGAGAAAATTTGGTGACTTTCTCATTGGACCTGCTCTTTGGCTACTCTCCACCATTCCTGGCTGTTCTGTTTTCATCTAGAAATTCTTTTGCAGCAAGAAAGAATTAATAGGAGAAAGCAAAATGATAATCTGAACCAAGCATTCCAAACCTCCTTTGTATTCTTTGTTTTTCTAGGAGAGTTCACTATAGGTTGAGTGAGAAGGAGATGACTTTACTTTATCACTTTCTCTTGTTAATTGTCTATTGTTAATTGGACTGTAATGAACAAATCAGATAAAAGTGTGATCGCCCTGCTCTCTCTCTCTCTCCCCCTCCCCAAATATCATTCCATTGAAGATCTTCCTCCGTGGATTGAATATCTGTGATGGGAACCCCTAAAATTTCTGCTTTCGTTTCTCTGTCTCATCCCACAGTAGTCATCATCTTCGCCATCTTCTCCATCTCTGGTCATTGTCGAAGCTATCTCCCTCCCTCTCTCTCCTCCTCCTTCTAGCCTTCATTAACTCGAATCCCTGCTACACCAGGCCACCCTCCCTGATCTCTAGTATCGTTTTCTCTCCCAGTCGGTCACCATTGAGCCGTCAACTTCACCACCATCCTCTCTTGTAGACCTGCTCTGTCATCTAATCACCTTACCAAGCCCCTTTCTGCAACCATTTATTTATTTATTTTTTTATAAATTCTGTTGGGTATCCTATGAAGTATATTTACCAATTTATAGGCTTGTTAGTGTGGTTTGGTTGGATTGGTTCAGGTTTAACCTGATTTCAATATACAAATCTTGAGGTTTGGATTGGGTTAAGCTGACTTCTTAAGACTGGGCCACGTTTGGGCATGGAAATTCAGAAAACTATAAAAGAAAAAAAAATGTTGTTAATTCAATTTCCCAGGCCAAGGATAGTGCAGTGAGTTCATAGCAAAATTGTTCTTATCTTTAGCAAAAACCCAATTTTAGATTACTTAATATTTTACCAAATAAGAAAAAGAATTTATATTTCTTTCTCTTGTGTTATTGTGATGGAGCCATGGAGACCGCTTCTTAGGATCATATTGCTGAAAATCTAAATTGACAAGCATAAAAATAAAAATGATTTAAATAAGAAATGTGATTTGATAGTATTGAAGTACCAAAAAGCCAACTTCATGTACATAAGGTAAATAAGAAATTCTTAAAACATGTTTAAATCTGACTAAAGTTTAGTTTTTGTTTGAATTAAGATGTATTCTCATTGGTCAGTATGAGATGGAGATTTATGAGCGATAGATAAGTTACGCAAGTAGAAGGAAGAATCAAATTAGAAGGGTATGGGCCAAATGCACTGGCACAACAACACCAAGCTAGATACACTTGGATTGCGTTTGGTCGCAATGCAAATGTAAACCAGATATAAATTTTGCATCTTGTTCATTTTTGCCTCTGTTTGTTTGTAACTATGATTTATACTCCTATCTGATATAAAATTTGTACTTTTGTTACAATTGCATTTGTTAGCAGTATAAATTTCGTATCTCAAAAATGGATGCAAAATTTGCACAACCTTCCCCTTACCTCAATTTTCTCTTGTAAAAATTAGAGACCTCATCATCTTTTGTCCTACTCCACTTGCAAATAAATCACTCGGAATCTACTACTCACAAGTTGTTCCCACATCCCTATCCATAGAGCACCATCATCGTGTATTAGGAACATCTGCCCATGAATAACAAGGGAGATATTCCTAATGCGCAGCTGTAATGTCCCATAAATAACAGATTTGAGCCCCAAACCCTCCTACCTCCATTCTCTGGCTTACCAGATGGGACCACACCATTATACCTTTTACGAACAAACAAGTTCAAATAAAGTGAACCGGAATTTACACTGATCAGTCAATCTATTTGCACTCCCATTCATTTACACTGCAGCAAAATGCAGCATAATAAGCAACAGAGCATCAGAAGAATAAAAAAAACACCCTAAAAGCAAAAGAAACTGAGCTCCTTGACGGAGGCAATTGATGAGTGTAGAGATACAAGATCTCAGGAAGATCCAGAAAAGCAACATATAGCAAGAAATAAAGATTAAAGAACATACAATACTACATAATTGAAGGTGCCAAGCCACCTTTAGGGGCAGCATGATATACGATCAAATGGATCAAATATAGTAATTTTCAGAAACTAGTTTGCGTTTGGTAAGCTTCAGGATTTTTGGGTTTTATGCTTTGGCACTTGAAAGTATTTTGC